GGATAAGACGTCGTGGCAAAAACGGGCGGGCGGGTAGGGGGCGGCCGTGAGCAAAAGACGCACATCCACTGCTGCAGGGGTCCCCCACGTGCGCACGCTCCGAGGCCCCAAAAACAATGCATCCTGACGCCCCTGGCAACAATGAGCAGCCGCCTTGGCTTTGTCCCTGTGCAGCCGTGCCATACGAGCCTCTGCTGCTCCTGCTGCCAGCTCAAACATCGCCGCCCATGGCTCGGCCCCTCAACGGAGCGGGCCCCCGGGCTGGGCCTCTCTGCTCCTCCTTGCCACCTTGGCGTCCGCCGCCCGCCCCCGCGGCGCGCGCCCCCGCGCCCCCATGCTGCTGCGCACCCTGGTCGCCGCCGCCGCTGCCGGCCGTGAGGCGCGCCTTCTTCCTCGTCTCAAAGTCGGCCTCCTTGGCCGCCGCCCCCTGCTGCAGCGCCTCCATCTCCTTCTGGGCGGCGCCGTCCTCCTCCATGGCCTCGCGCTCCTGGGTGCGTGGTGGGACCGATAGTGGTGGTGGTGATGGCAGTGGTGGCGGCGGTGGCGGCGGTGGTGGCGACGGTGGCGGCGGCCGCAGTGGTGGTGGGGGTGGGGTGGGCGGCGGTCGTTGCATGGGTTTCAGGTTTGGTCCCCGTTGCTGGGAAAGCATGAGCAACGTGATGTGATGATGGTGGTGGTGATGCTGCTGGTGATGATGACGGTTGTAGTGGGCTTTCGAGATGGCAAGGGTCCATGCAGGGACGCACAGTTGGGGGCAGGCCGCGGCCGGCTGCTCCCGAGAGCAGGCTGCGGCAAGGAGGGCTGGTGCCGACAAGGCCTGCGCGCGCGGCCGCTGCCATCAGGGCTCAAGAGGCGTGCATATGCGGCCCGCGGCGCCGCGGCGGCTGGCTGCATCGGTCCGCGCCGTCCGCCTGCGGCTCCCCCAGGTGCCCCCGCCACCGCCAGCGGACGCGCGCTCGTCACGCGCTCGGCCGCCCAAGCTTTGACTGAGCGGCGCGCGGCCAGGCCTGCGCACCTCGCGCGCCCGCTTGCGCTCGTCGCGCTTCTCCTTCTCCTGCTGCAGTATCTGGTTGCGCTTCCACGCCAGCTCCTTTATGAGCTCCTCTTTGAAGGGCCATTGATTGGGGATCCCGGGGTCCTTCTCTTTGGGCGCCCTCTTGCCCAGCTTCTTCAGCTCCTTCTTCTTCTTCTTGTGGTGCTCCTTGACCTTCTTGATGACCTGCGGGCGCGAGGGGGAGAGGTGCAAGAGGAGGGCTGGGGCGCGGGGGTGCGCGGCGATTGCGCCAGCAGCGGCGGCGGCGCGGCGGCGGCGGATGGTGCGGCGGCTATGCACGGGGCGCGGCGGGGCTGATGCGGATGATTTCGCATACCTTGTACTTCTGTTTTAGAGTCACGCGCTTAGACTTGCTTTTCTTGCTTTGCTTTGGCATGTTGGGCGGCTGCTAGTGGATAAGATAGCGTCTTTGGTCGAGTAAAAGCTCTGAAGATGTTCTAATCAGGGGTATACATTGGCGATCGCAGTGCTTGGCTGATCAGCACAGCGCACTTGCGACCTGCGCGGTGGGTGACAACTTTGGCGGGCACTGTAGCCGCTTGATGATGCCATCCGATTCTGTTTGCGACAGCGTCTGTTGGTCGCTGGCACCCTCTGCGTGCCGGCAGGCTAGTCGGTGACATAATGTGCAGTACGACGCGCTGCAAGCTCTAGCTGCCCCATGCAGCTCGGCACAGTCTTCACACAGCCAGAGCTTGCAAGAGCCTTGGTGACAGCATTGAGAGATGATATCTTCAATTAAGTCTACAGACCAATACGGAGCCCCCGTGCATTGCATGCAACGACAGTCAATGCACAGCCCGGGTTTCGGATGACGTATGCCCCTGTCAAAAAAAAACAAGGGCGTGCGCAATACTTCCTCACTTGGTATGAGGTGTTCAGGCAGCCAGCTGCTCAAACGTTGCGCCCATGGGTTGCCTGGTGCGAGTCACGCAGCAGGCTTCTATGCAGTTACACGGCAGCGCCCAAGGAGACCGCTTGCTTGTCCGGCATGGCGGCACCCCGTGACGACGGGACGCTGCCCGCTGTGCTGCTCGTGCTCGCCCTGCATCCCAGGTCGCTTGGCGCCCCTGCACTTGAATCCCCTCAGTTGACTGTGCTGTGCGCAAAACGGCGCCGCCGCGGGCACCCATCAGCGCGACTGTGTGTTGCTGACAAGGGCCAACAGATCGGGTGGGGGTGTGGGTGCCGAATGCAGATCCCACTGCATCCACCTGCCAGCCTGCCACCGACAATATGTTCAGGCTCATTATAAGATACAAGGTGATTTTGTGATATGAGTTCCGGTGGAACGGGTACGGGCAGGGATACCCCACTCGCTTTGTGCACTCCGCTGCTTGCCGCACACTTGCTCCTTTGATCCCCGGTGAGACGGTGACGGCCGACTACGACTCCAAGGTAGTGAGGTATACTTTTATAAGATACAATCTATGTTTGAGCTGTATTGCTTCTAGCTCTGCCAGCAGGCTGCTGTGGCGCCGAGCGGGCCCCCTCCCGCACAGCCGAGCTGAGCTTGATGTGCGCCACCTCGGCCGGTGACGTAGTGACGCAATATGCACACACAAACAGCACTCCTGAAGGGGCCAGGTAAAAATGACGAAGGTATTTCTCATTGTCCCGATCAACATTCAGCGTGCTTGTGGCGATCGCCAATGTACACCCGGCTTTGATCTCGTCGTATGGTATCACAGGCCAAACCCGCTTCAAATACTACGGAAACTCTGAAGTAAGGATTGTATCACAGAAGGAGCCGTGCTCCGGACCGCCACGGTGCTCGTGCTGGTGAGGGCGCACTTCGCAGCGCCGCGGCCCCGACTGGAGCGCCAGGGGCGGCTGCTCAGCAATGGCGCTCTATTTCGTGCACCGCCCAGAGACGGTGAGTCTGTGGCGGCTCCACCACCGCTCGCGGCCGGCAGTCGCAGCACACACAGGGGTGGCGCCGCGCCGCACCCCACAGCCCCGCCGCCACCGCGCGGCCTCTTCCATTCTGCAGCGCAGAGCAGGCACGCAACAGTGTGCATCAGCCCTGACACGCACCCGCATGCGTGCCATGCATGCACCAACCCAGGTGGTCTTCGCGGTGGACCTGGACTCAGAGATGACGTCAGAGGCTGTGCCGGGCTGCACCCGATTTGACGCGGTGGTCCACGCCATCACCACGTTCGTGTCTGCAAAGGTGCGGCGCCAAAAAGCGAAGGGAACAGGGGCAGCTGGCGGCAGGGGCGGCTGGCAGCAGGGGGCGGCTGGCGGCTGCGGCAGCAGCGGCGGCTGCTGATGTGTTCAGTGCATGTGCGGGCCCGGGGTGGAAACGAAGTTGGCAACAACCAACGGCATGAGTTGGCACGAGTTGTTGTTGCTGGCAGCCTGGCCGACTGCAAAGCAAGCCCCTGTGCTTGTCCATTCATCTTCCAGCGCGGCTCTCCCGTTGCTCATTCGTGCTCACTGCACCCGATGCACCCATAAATTGAGTAGAAGCGCCTGGACTGCGCGCATACGTTTGGCTTGATGACGCTGCTGGTGAGTAGGCCGCGCTCCGTAGCGCACTTGTTGTGGCTGTGCGTTTGTGTATGTGTGTGTGTGTGTGTGTGTGTGCGCGCGCGCGTGTGTGACTGTGTTTGTGAGAGGGGTGACTTCTGAGGGGAGGCGCTAGGGCGCTGATGCACGAGAGCCTGTGCCTTGTTGGCGCCTTGGTCATCAAAGCCCTGCCGGGCGGCGTCCCTGGCAGTCTGCGCCTCCTGGCGCGCTCTGCCATGCGGGCACGCACGCGTCTGCACCTGCCCCTGTCACAACCCGCTGCCCCCAACAAACAAACCTGGATGCGCGTAAAACCCTGCGGGATCACGCCGGGCACGCTACTCTGTACGTGTGCAATGCATCAGCCCTCTCGCATGCACATCAGCACGTGCGCAAACACTTACACACATGCACACATGCACACACGCACACACACGCGCGCGCGCGCACATAGGACTCTGCAGTGTTTCTACCCGACAGCCTCACTTCCTCTCTGGACGAGCTGCTGGCGACACTGCGCTCCCTGGCCCCGTCAGGGGCGACGCCGCGGCACGAAACGTTCGACATGGGCAGCCTGCTGCACGCGGCGGAGGAGCCCAAGGTGCGGTGCTGTGCATTGTCCCAGCGTGGTGGGAAATCGTCCGCGTGTGGTTTGTGGTTGTGTGTGTGTGTGTGAGAGAGAGAGAAAGAGAGACACACACAGAGAGAGAGGAAGAGAGAGAGACAGAGAGAGAGAGAGGCAGGGGGAGCGACGTGAGGGAGAGAGAGGAGACGAATGTGAGTGTTTGTTTGCAAGCGCGCACGCGTGGACTTACTCCATGTCGGTGTCTTTGTCTGGCTCACTCTTTCAGAAAGGGAAAGGCCCTCCATCTGCCCCCGCACCCATGAAAACCTGTGTGGCCGCGAAGGGCCGCACCACGCCCGATGTGGCCAGTCTTGCGACGCACCTGTGTGCCCGCCTGCCGCCCACGGCGTCCGCTCCGCTCCAGCGTCCCCTACCTGCAGGCCCCAGCTCGACTCCGCTGCCCTCAAGTTTCAAGCGCATTCAATTTCACAACTGGCATCTCACTGCCTGCAAATCACGCCATTTCAGAGGCTGGCGCGGCAAAGGGGGAGCCTGCTGCGCGTGCTCATGGTCTACGGCCGGTCGGACTGCGTGCCCGCGCGGCCGCTGGGGGGATTGGTGGCGCAGCACGGGGGCCTGACGCTGGACTGCATATACATTCACGACAAGCCCAGTCCAGGGGTCAACCGGCCGCAGGTGGGTGGGTGGGTGGGTGGGTTGGTGTGGATGTGGGTGCATGTGTGTGTGTGTGTGTGTAAATGTGAGTGTGTGTTTGTGTGTCCGAGAGAGAGAGAGAGAGAGAGAGTGTGTGTGTGTGTGTGTGTGTGTGCAATTTTGGGATTGCGCGATCGTGCGCATGTGTTGGGGTGGAAGTGGCTGATGCCGAGGGTCGCGTGACTGGCAAGAGGGGAACGGTGTGGGCGGGCACAGTCCAATCAGTTGCGGCGCGTGGCTGCCGCTGGCGGGGCTCAGCGGGGAGCAGGGCGCCAGCGCTGCCCCCCGCGCTGCATTTGATATGAACGCGTGCAACAGCGCGCTCATGCTTTCCTCGTCCATACACAGCTGCACGCAGTTGCGCCCGGGCGTGCAAGCCCACACACCGTCTTTCATGCATACAGTGCGTGCTGCAAGGCACCCGTCACCGGCCGTTTGTGTATGTGCACACCACCCAAGGGAACAGCCCCATTGCAGTCAGACGCTCACATCCACGTGTACAATCCAAACCCATTCGATGCTTGCAGGACGTGTACAGTGCCCTGGAGGACTCAGTGGATGACATCAGCGCGGCGGCCGGCCACAGGGCCTACGTCTCTGAGACTGGGGGCGG